CAAGAGGCCACGGCATGTGTGTGTCTGTGGCCAACACCAACCTGCAGCTTTTCATTAGCATCTCCCCAACAATCCAGAAAAGCCAAAGACCTACGCAGCATAGTAGATAAGTCAAAAACAGCACCCCTCCATACACTCTCGTTTCTAGCGCACCACACACCCCAACATGCCATCACAAACCTAGGCTTAGCAATCAAATCTAAAGTGCCCAGAGCCCAAAAGAACCAGTCACCAAGATGATTACTATCATAGCTGCACACATGTGGCATCCCCAACAAGTTCCAAAGGCGGACCGCCTCCCCGCACTGAACAAAAAGATGCATGGCCGATTCCTGTACCTGCCTGCACATATGACAATCCACGAGGCAAGCAACATTCTTAGATAACAAAATATCACGTGTAGGAAGATAGAGGGACGCAAGCTGCCAACAAAAGCTCTTCACCTTAGGGGGTACCTGCAAGTTCCAAATACTTTCCCATGGGTGGTGACTCGCATCCACTCTCGTAAGTTGCCTGTAACATGATTTGACCGAGTACACACCCTTCTGCTCCCAATGCCAAAACCACTGATCATGAGGTCCCCGGTAACTGACAGGAATATTCAAAATTAAATCAGCATCACGGGTATTGAAAATATCCTTCACACAGTCCACATCCCAACCCTTACCATGCTGATCCATCAGAGAAGCCACCGGCGCCTCATAAACTGCTTGATGCAACTCCGTTTCCACAAACGGATTCCCATCCTCAGGAAGCCAAGGATCCCTACCAATTATAGTCCCTTTGCCATCGCCTATGACCCTTCTGCACCCCTCCTTCAAACAGCCTTTAACCTCCAGCATACCCCGCCAAATATAGGATGGGTTACTACCTTCCCTGGCATCAAAATAGTCACAATCAGGATAATACCTTGCTTTAAACACACGGGCCACTAGACTTGTGGGATTGGAAACTAACCTCCACGCCTGCTTTCCTAACAATGCCTTATTCATCTCATGTAGACGGCGGAAGCCCATTCCACCACATGCTTTCGGCTTTGATAACCCCTCCCATGATCGCCATCTGATCCCACGTTCACATCCCACCCTGCCAGTTCACCAGTATTGATTCAGAATTACCTCCACTTCCCGACACAGGCCTATGGGGAGCAAGAACACCATCATAGCATAAGCTGGCATTGCCTGCAGAACATTCTTCAAAAGCACCTCTCTCCCAGCTCTAGACAAAAACTTGGAATTCCAAGAACGGACCCTGGTGAGTATTCGGTCCTTCAGGAAACCCAGTATAGCCTTCTTCTTCCTCCCCACTAGGGATGGTAAACCCAAGTATTTCCCACTCGTATCACCCTCCTCCACTCCCAGTATATCAACAACCTCATTTCTTCTACTCTGTGGGACATTAGCACTAAAACATGCAGCAGACTTAACATAATTTATATATTGTCCAGATGCCCTTGCATAGGTATCGAGAATGTACCTCATTTGAATGCTCTCGCCCTCATTAGCCCGTAAAAAAAGGAAGGAGTCATCTGCAAAAAGGAGATGAGATATGGATGGTGCCCCTCTGGCAACAGAAACCCCATGCAACCGGCCCGCAGACATGCTTCTCTTAATCATAGCACTCAACCCCTCAGCCACAAAAAGGAACAAATACGGGGATAGTGGGTCCCCCTGGCGTAGGCCTCTTCCTGGAATAACTGGCCCCAAATGCCGCTGATCATGCAAAATATGATACCGTACCGAGGTTACAGATTCTAGCAAAATATCCACCCATCCACTACCAAACCCCATCTTAAGCATCACCGCCCGTAGAAACTCCCACTCCACCCGATCATAGGCCTTCGACATGTCAAGCTTCAACGCAACGACCCCCTCACACCCCTGGGACTTGCGCTTCAAAAAGTGGTGAACCTCATAGGCAAGCATGATATTATCAGTAATTAAACGCCCCGGGACAAAGGCACTCTGAGCACATGAAATTAACTTATGCAACAAGGGCTTTAGACGATTTGCACATACCTTTGCCGCCACCTTATAGATGACGTTACACAAAGCAATCGGCCGTAAATCCTTCATTGATTCCGACCTGGCCTTCTTCGGGACCAAAACAACAAGGATATCATTAGCCCCACTTGGGAGCTTGGCCGTATCCAAGAAACTTCTACAAAAATCCGTTATCGCCCCCCCCCCCCTACAATGTCCCAGAAATACTGGAAAAATCCCGGCCCAAAACCATCAGGACCCGGGGTCTTATCCGGGTGCATCTAAAACACCGCAACACGAACCTCCTCCATACTCAACGGGCGCAACAGCATAGCATTATCAACCTCAGTCACCTTCGAAGGAATTGCATCAATCACCTCCTGCATCTCTCCATAATCCGGGAAAAACAGTCCAGTATAATAATTCAACATAACATTATCCAACCCCTGTGAATCCTCCACCCAATTCCCATTCTCGTCCTGGAGACGTCTAATAGTATTGCGTCGGCGTCTTGCTTTCACAGAATTGTGAAAAAACTTGCTATTGACATCCCCACCTTGATACCAAAACTCCTTAGCACGCTGTTTCCAGAAATAATGTTGTTGCTCCAACAAGAAAAGCAACTCTCTCTCTACCGCCACATATTCTCTCATTCCAGGCTCATCACGACGCCCCCTCAACCATTCTAGGCGTTGCTTATTGAACTCAATCTTACGTTGGAAATCTCTATTATAACTCCGCCCCCACCTCTTCAAGTCAAGAGCACATGCCTCCACCCTTGCTAACGTATCCAGGCCAACCGTTCTATCCCAACTTTGCGCAACAATTTCTCTACATGAATCTTCCCGCAACCACAAATTATCAAAACAGAACCTGGCATGCTTGCGTACTTGTGGGAGAATAACCGGTATAAGAACCAGGGGTAAATGATCACTATAGGGCACAACCAGAGACTGTGCCCGTGCGCCTTGAAACAAACTCAACCACTCCTCATTAGCTAAAATGCGATCCAATTTCTCCTCGATCATACCGCTCGTGCCCTGTGACTTTACCCAAGTATACTGTGGCCCATCAAACGGTAAATCCTGCAAATCACAGTCCGCAATAGCCTCCCTTAAACCATTTATACACCAAGGAGGATGTGGGGCCCGTCCATTCTTTTCTGACTGATCAAGGAGGTCATTAAAATCCCCCATCACTACCCACGGTAGAGATGACCGAGATGACAAGGTGCGCAACAACTGTCATACCTCCCGCCTTCAGTTCCTCTCTGGATACCCATAAAAACCAGTAAAACGCCATAGGGGAGCACCAACATCCATACGTAGCTCACAATCAACATGATTAGCAGAGAACCCCGAAACTGTCAAGTCCACACTGTTCATCCATAACATCGCTAAACCCCCACTCCGTCCATCCGCCTCCACAGTAAAAACACTATCAAAACCCAATTGTACTCTAATATCTTCCATACGCTGCTTGCCAACAAAAGTCTCAATCAAAAACACCACACTCGGCCTCTTAGTGCGAACCAGGTCCGCTAACACACGAACTGCCGTCTGGTTGCCAAGCCCCCGGCAATTCTAAGAAATTAAACTCATAATTCTCGGCGGGCTTGCTCCGCAAGACCCGCCCCCAATCCGTTTTTTGAGATTGCCACATCACACTCCATCTCCCCTCCATCCACACTCTCCTCCACACCATCCTCCTCCACCCTCCTTCTTTTTTGTTCCCCCACAACAACTCTCGGCAAAACACCCACTTCCCTCTCTACCCCTTCCACCCTCTCACAACACAAACCCATATTTCCCCCAACGCAAACCCCCTCCACACCCTCACTGCCATGCCTCACAACACCCCCTCCACACATCCTCACGTCACCCTCTCTGCCACATCCCACACCACCCCCACTGCCCTTTCCCGTAACCCCCTCACTGCCCAAAACTCCCCCAACATTACCACTGGACACAGTTCCCCCCCCCCCCCCCCATAGCAGGTGATTTCCAAGCTTTCCGGTCAGCAGCATTTTCTGGAGGAATCCACCCCAAATTCACCAATGGCGGTCTCCCCGACGAGACGCCGCCCGCAACCAAGCCCCATATGGTTTCTTAGCTTTTGGATCATGTCGTTCCAACGCGAGCCTGCAATGCCTGTCCCCATGCCCAATCAACCCGCACAAAAAACAAAAGGTAGGTAAACGTTCATACCTGAAATCAATAACAGTCCAACTCCCGACACCCTGTTTTAACTTCATCTGCTTCTTGAGTGCCTTGGTGATGTCCAGCAACACCCGAATACGGTAATACGTTCTCAAGGACCCGTCAAAGTTCCTCTCATCAGCCTGCACCACCCTCCCCAAAAACGAGCCGATTGCATTAACGACCGACTCCGAATGGAAACCAACCGGCAACGCATGTATTTGAACCCAGAATTCCGCATGATCCAATTGAACAGTTTCCGGATCCTCCCCCAACTCCAGCCTCTTCATCACCAACAAACTCTGCTCATATGCCCACGGACCCTCACTTAATATACGCAGAAGATCAGCTTCATGATAAAACCGAAAAAGAAAACGTCGCGGTTGAAGCTCACGCATATTCACACCCATGGCTGCCTGCCACACCCCCGCCATAGTGTCCTGAAAGTATGCAAAGCGAACAGCCCGGTTTGTGAGCACCCTTCCCACCGCAAGAAACCCCGTCTCCGCCGGCTCGTTCTCGTCCGGTACGTAAGGAACACTTACAGCGTGGTCCTCATCCTCAACATCAGCCAATGTCAGGTTAGCACCGTACCCCTTAATTTTAGAACTATATTAGTCCTTTGTAGAATAAGTGAATAAAGTTTTAATTTCAGTGTATAATTTTAATATATTAATCAAAAAATTTGTGATCACACTAAAGAAAATACGCTGAATTAGAGCCAGTAACATTCAAAAAAGACTAAAGAAAATACGCTAAATGAGAGAATTACATGAAAACAATATTATCAACCACCGCAACAACACGTTGTGGTTGTAAAGCAATTAACCCAAATCAGGGTTCATGGAAAGTAAAGGTATGGGGTAATTGACAATGACGTAGGTTAGGTTTAAATATGTTGCACGTGGAGGGCTACTGAGCAGTGACCCGCCGAACGCGGGTTTTAACCGACCAAGTAAAAAAACAAAAAATGGGTCAATCACATGCTTTTAACAAAGGGAAAATGACACTTTTTACCCCTGAGTTATATACTTATAGCACTTTTTCCCCCTCAATTATTTAGGTAAGCACATTAGCCCCCTCAATTATTCTAAAAGTTGTGCTTTTTCCCCCCTGATATATTAAATTGACATTTATACCCTTAAAGTAAACATTTTATTTATTTTACTACTCCAACAAATTATTGCGTATATGTAGGGATGATTACGGTTCGATTTGAATTGAACCGGATACTAAAGCAATCGAATTAATAGTTTACGGTTATAATTCATATCTAGAACCCAATATTTAAATGTCAATTTATTAAAATTATGTATCAAAAAATTGAATCTTGAACCGTGAACCTGTGGTTCCGGATCTGATTCGCGGTTTTGAACCGTCTTTATTTTAAAATTTTATTTTTTATTTTAAAATAGTCTAAATTCAACAATAAATGTATTTTATTTTTTTTCGGAACATGAACCGTCCGTTCCGGTTCACGATTTTAATAAACTCTAAATATCAAATTTTGATTCTAAATTGTAATTGGAATATTTCGGTTTGGTTGCTATAGTGTTTGTTTAGTTTGAACCAAATTATGTTCATAATTTGTTGGAGAAAAAAATAAATTAAATATTTAGTTTAAGGGTAAATATGTCCATTTAACATTTCAGGGGGAAAAACAGCCACTTCAATAACTTAGGGGGAAAAAATGCTATAGGTATATAACTCAGGGGGAAAAAGTGTCATTTTCCCTTTAACAAATGTTTTGGTTTCTTTCCTTTACCGTCAATTTGCCCCGCCGACAAAACTTACCATTTTGGTCCAACAAAAATTGAATGAATATTTAATTGAGTTCTTTTTTTGGGGAGTAATATTTAATTGAGTTTTATTACATCTATTCTCAAATATTACTTTTTCAATTTTACTCTTTGATGGATCGTTCGTGCATCGCCCGTTAAACACTACAGTGTGTCTAAACCGACATTGCCTCACGTATTATTTTTATATTATCAAATGAAACTATAGTTATATCAAAATGATACTATAGTTGTGGTGAAATGAAACTACAGTATACATAAAATGAAACTGAATAACATTTCACATATTTGAGTGCATATTATACAATGAAGCTGTAATTATATTTAAATGATCATGTAGTTGTGTTTTAATGAAATTATAGTGTATATAAAATAAAATTAAATAACATTTTCACATATTTGAGTGTATAAATATTGAATGAAACTGTAGTTATATCGAAATAAAACTGTAGTTGTGTTGAACTGAAACTGCAGTGTATACAAAATGAAACTGAAGAACAGAGTTATTTTTTGCGAAGATTCTGTTTCTTTTCATTAAATAAAACAACGTCGTTTTGACAGTGTCGGTTTAGACACATTGTAGTGTCTGACGCGCGGTGCATAATCAATTATGCACAATCAATTATGCACCGCGGTGCACGATATAATTTGTCGGCCTCTTTGATGTAGTGGGTTCTGATAAGCTAGTTTTATCATGTGGGATCCAATACAAGTGTCTACATCAAAGTTTTGTGTGTGGGAGTAAAAGTTGAGGGTAGAAAATGAGAGTACACATAACATTTTTCTATTTAATTTGAAGTTATTAGAAGTTCTATATAGAGTTGTTATATATACCATGGACCAGGGTCCACATTGCAAGGTAACCCTAGTCCTAAAGAATGTATAAATTTTATATTTTTAGTATTGAAATTGTAAACTTTTAGAATATAAATTGTGTTTCTAAGTCAAAACAACATGTGTGGAAGCAGTATTTTTTTATTACAAAGGAAAGGGATACACACATATACAATCTACGCCTACAACATGTGTGGAAGCAGTATTTTTTTATTACAAAGGAAAGGGATACACACATATACAATCTACGCCTACCATGAGGCTTAAACCTCAGACCTCCCACATAAGGGACCAACCGGATATCAGTGGACCACAAGCCACTTGATTGTGACTGCAGTATTTGAAAGGAATTTGTGAATACAAAATAAGATAATCAATTACATATATATCAACATTCTGTATTTGTAATATACAAATTGTAAATTTTTAAAAGATAAATTGTGAATATTTAAACCCGGTCACTTCACAAAATAATTTGCGAGTTCTATACATAACTCATCAAAACTTCAATTCTGCATGCTTTGCATAATTAATTATATTGCTTTCCTCCACGGAAGAAATTTGGGTAAACCCCACCCATAGACTGGGGCTTGGCTACGTAAACTATCTCATGCCGAGTTGCTCAGCTAATTATTCATTTTCAATCCCAAAAAAACAAAAAAAAAACAAAAAAAAACAAAAAAAAAAAAAAAAAACAAACAAACAAACAAAACAAAACAAAAAAACAAAACAAAACAAATATTATAGAGTGATTTTTTTTTTTTTAATTTAATGACATTCACATTCGTTACAAAAAATGTTAGTCTATATTTTTTTTTTTTTTTGAAAATAATGTTAGTCTATATTTAATTATTTTAAAATTGCATTTTCATATTCAATTTCGGTGTAACACAAGAAAAAATCTTTACTTTTATTGATATTCATAAATTGGTACATCTCACCACGATGCCATCAATAATTGATAGAGTCTACGCAATAATCAAATACATCAAGAATTCAGTATAAAAATTGCATTTTAACAGTGAATATTATGAAATAATTTTAGTAGGAGAATGTAACATACATGATAACAATTTTCTTGTATAAGGTTTTTTTTTTTTTTTTTTTTGAAAACCTTGTATAAGGTTATTTTCACTGGATTTATCTTCTAATGTCAAAATAAAACATATTGGGCGTGCTTATTAAATGAAAACATTCCTTTTTTTAAGAAAGGTAAATATAAAAAAATGTACTTGTACAATTCTCCAATTTGAATATAGAGAATATGGAATGAAAAACTAGGAATTAAAATAAAAGGTGAGTCTAATTATATTTATTGAGTGCATGCTCATAATTTGCTATCGTTACTGGCTATGTTTGGCAAACCTAGCTGAAAAGTAGTTGAAGCTGAAAACTGAAGAGTTGTTAAGTTAATTCACTATGCTTAAAAGTATTTGGTAAAATTAGTTTTTTTGATAAACTGATAAATGTAAAAAATACTAAAAATGACATCTTCATAAAAATTAAATAGTTTTAAATTTAAATAATTTTGTTTACATATTAAAATTTAAGAATAATGGTCAAATAAACCACTCAACTGCACACCAAACTTCAATTAAGCCATCAAACTCCAAAAAAAAAAAAAAAAATGCAATTGAATCCCTGAACAACACAAACTCATACAATTCGACCCAAAATACTTGTTTACCTGAACATATGCTGACATGGTGATTACCAGATTTAAAAATAATTTTTTAAAAATAATTTTAAATAAATCTCTCAACTCAAAATATCGCACTAATTTTTATTCTCAAATTGCACTTCCTCTAAATCTCTCTCAACTCAAAATGTTCAATGACCCTTGAACATTCCAATAATGATAATTGAGAGGTTGGGAACTATTTGGTTGAGCAAATAATTCAAATACTGATAAATAGGAGAACGTCTTCTTCATAAAATTTTTAATTGTATTAATTATTGGTGCATTTGGTATTTAATATTTTGTATTTGACTTCAATTTTTAATTTGTTCTGTACATGATTTCGACTGCGAATTTTAACGTGGTGTTAATTTTTTTTTTTAATCCGAGGGAGAATTATATTGGGTTGGTTCCTTTAGCTGTTTCATGCAATCTGTTATAATTGCTTCTTTTAAAACTCACTGCATTTTTTCTGCACAAGCTGCAGTCATGATTTTTATTTTTAGTTATTTTGGCATTTTTACTTCCAACTTGAAGGTCTACTTTTTTTTGTTCTTTATTTTTATTTCTTATTTTACATTCATGGGAAGGAAGAATATAATATAATATAAAATATAATATAATATAAATTTAGACCAACTAATTTCAACCGGTATCAGCACATGCGTCCTGCGTGTCTCAAAAACCTTAATCCTTGGAAGCATTAAATAATAATAAAAAAAATTAAATAATACCAACATTGCTAATTGTTGATTTTAACGTCTTTACACCCCTCTTAAAATTGAGTACTATTTTGGTATAGGAAAAATTGTAATTTATACTCCTTACAAATATGTCAATAATCAATGTCACCTTTGAATTATTGGTAGTTTAAATGTTGTCTATCAATTTTCAAAATGTTATATATATTGTCCCTCCCCTAATAGTAAGAAGGAGAAACATTGTTGTCCGCGGAAGAAGAACAAATGAAGAAAAATAAATGGAGGAAAAAATATAGTATTCAAACAGGGAAAATGATAAGTAACTACATTCAAACCACTAATAATTCAGGAAAGTGACAATATATGTCACGTTTTGAAAATTAAGAGGCAACATTTACACCACTAATAATTCAGGGGTGACATTGATAATTTGTGAGGGGCATAAATGATAATTTTCTCTTTGGCTACAATTATATTGATGTAATACCGATATCCATTTTATTATTAACTAATAACAAGATCCAAATAAAGCAGTTTTGTTGGTGTGAGTGGCCGTCTACTCTTGTCCCTTAAGAGAGGTTAAGAGTTCGAACTCACACTTGTATGGAAAAATCAATCTGGTAAGCACGTTGTCCCTTAATTGGGTTAGCTCAGAAGGTGTCTCCTACAATTAAGGTTTGCTCAGAACACCTCGTGGTTTAAAAAAAAAAAAAAAAAAAAAAAAAAGATCCAATTAAATTTGTTTGGTAAATGTGTTACCAAGATATATCATCAACTTATTTCTTTGCCAGGTCTGACCTACATATCCCAAATACAACAATTTGGAATTTTATTTTTTTTAAACAATTTGGAATTTATTATCACAATAATAAATTATGTGAGAGGATACGGCTTGGAATTTTTTATAATTTATTTATGAGAATGTTACTCGAGGGTAGGAAAACAAGATTAGGGTGTCCGCTATTGAAAATGAACTTGTAATATTGTGATTATCAAGTTAACAGTTTAAATAACTTGGTTAGGGTTGTTTCAGAATTTTATTAATTTTTTTATATCAAATTAAATGATATGTTTTATGTTATTTAAAAATCTAAGATAAATAGATTGCACATTTATGTACTCAATATGTACTATAAAAATGTTTAATAAGTACCTGGAAAGTCTTATCAAAATCCCCCTCCCCCCGCCCCCACCTGGAAAGTCTTATCAAAATCCCCTTATGTTGTCGAGCAACTATAGTTGTCACCTTATTATTATAAAATATTGAAGGATCAATAATATAATGTTTATATCCGTCGTTCGATATATAATAATATAATACATAAAATATAAATGTATGTAATATAATATAACTATTAGTTTAGCATTTTAGTAAAAGAGTTAGGGAAAAAACATACTACCTATTTTAATTTGATATCACCAAACTCATACAAATTAAAGGTCTGAAACTTCACATCACCTAATAAAAATGACTATATATTCACGTGTTGCATGTAGCAAAAGATATACCACCCAATAAAAATGAACTATATATTACATGTAGCCAAACATATATCACCTAATAAAAAAACAAAAGTAATCAGTCCACACATGTGAATGACATAGTGATAAAATATTATTTTTAAAAAAATTATTGAAAAAAAGGTGAGATATGGGAGTGGATGTATGTGCTGTGACAAAGTTTGATGCGAGGAAGGATGATCCATTGATCCCACCTTCAACGCTCACTCTCTTTTTCTAATTTACCGTACACGTAGTCTTCTCCCATTTCCTTACAAGTGCTCTTCTCCCTCACCATCTCCTCTATATATACTTTCCCCAAACCCCTTCTCCCACAAACCCACACACTTCACTCTCCTTACTCCCTCCACACCTAACCCCTAAACCCACACATAGTCACATACACACTCCATCCTATAACCAAAATCCTCCCAAAAAGTGCTTAAACTACATAAAGCTCCAATCTTGGTATCTACCCATAGCCAAAATCCTCCCAAAAAGTGCTTAAACTACCTAAAGTTCCAATCTTGGAATCTACCCATAGCCAAAATCCTCCCAAAAATTGCTTAAACTACCTAAAGCTCCAATCTTGAATTGGTATCTACATACCCATGGCCAACACCATTTCTACTTCTTTGGTTAATAACCTTCATTACAAATCTAGTAGACAAGAGTTGCGCATTCATTGTTCTCTGCAAACTCCATCCATTCTCCATTTTCCAAAGCAATCGACTATTCCCACTTCAATATCCACTGCCATTTCACCGCCGAATCAAGAAACAACCGCAGTTGTACCCTCGTCGTCGTCCCCGGCGGCTCCGAAATGGAATTTACTGCAAAGAGCGGCGGCAATGGCCTTGGACGCGGTGGAGGATAAGATAACTGCGCGCGAACTCGAGCACCCTTTGCCGAAAACGGCCGACCCTCGCGTTCAGATTGCCGGGAATTTTGCTCCGGTGCCGGAGCAGCCCGTCCGGCACTCGCTTCCGGTGGTCGGAAGGATACCGGAATGCGTTCGGGGGGTTTACGTCCGCAACGGGGCCAACCCGCTCTTCGAGCCGGTGGCCGGACACCACTTCTTCGACGGCGACGGGATGATCCACGCCGTGCAGTTCAAGAACGGCGAGGCGAGCTACGCCTGCCGGTTCACGGAGACCCAACGGTTCGTCCAAGAACGGGCCTTGGGCCGCCCGGTTTTTCCCAAGGCCATTGGGGAACTTCACGGCCACTCGGGGATTGCAAGGCTGCTGCTTTTCTACGCCCGCGGGCTTTTCGGGCTCGTCGATCAGAGCTCCGGCACCGGAGTAGCCAACGCCGGTCTGGTCTACTTCAACAACCGCCTCTTAGCCATGTCGGAAGACGATTTACCGTACCACGTCCGCATAACGCCCTCCGGCGACCTGAAAACGGCGGGAAGATACGATTTTGGCGGGCAATTGAAATCCACCATGATCGCTCACCCCAAGCTCGACCCAGTCTCCGGCGAGCTCTTCGCGCTCAGCTACGACGTCATACAAAAGCCGTACCTCAAATTCTTCCGATTCTCCAAAACCGGCGAGAAATCTCGAGACATCGAAATCCCAGTCCCGGAGCCGACAATGATCCACGACTTCGCAATCACGGACAGATTCGTGATCGTCCCAGACCAGCAAGTGGTGTTCAAGATGTCCCAGATGATCCACGGCGGCTCGCCGGTGGTCTACGACAAGAACAAGGTTTCAAGATTCGGAATCCTAAACAAATACGCCGAAGATTCCTCGGAGATAAACTGGGTCCCAGTCCCCGACTGCTTCTGCTTCCATCTCTGGAACGCCTGGGAAGACACAGAGACCAATGAAATTGTGGTGATCGGGTCCTGCATGACCCCGCCGGACTCCATTTTCAACGAATGCGACGAGGGGCTAAAGAGCACTCTATCCGAAATCCGACTAAATCCGGTCACCGGAGAGTCTACCAGAAAGCCGATCATACAAAACCCAGAAAATCAGGTCAATTTGGAGGCCGGAATGGTGAACAGAAACAAATTAGGGAGAAAAACACAATACGCATATTTGGCAATAGCAGAGCCGTGGCCGAAAGTTTCCGGCTTTGCAAAAGTGGACCTTTTTACCGGCGAAGTCAAGAAGTTCATCTATGGAGATGAAAAGTACGGCGGAGAGCCCCTGTTTTTACCCAGAAATGTGAATTCCCAAGAAGATGAAGAAGAAGATGATGGGTATATCTTAGCCTTTGTGCACGACGAAAAGGCAGGGAAATCAGAGCTTCAAATTGTGAACGCACAGACATTAGAGCTTGAGGCCTCTGTTAAGTTGCCTTCAAGAGTTCCCTATGGCTTCCATGGCACATTCATCAACGCCGACGACCTGTCCTCCCAAGCTTAGAGCGAAGATCGGTGAACAATCCGGCCCGGAATCTCCTTTTTTTTGGGAGTTGTATAATTTAGATTTTTTGTTTTGTTTTGTTTTGTTTTAATAGGTACCAGCTTGCAGCTTATTGGATATAATTAGGATTAGAGCTCAGCTGGTTGTTACATATGCTTCTGCTTCTTCACCATATGTGCAAGGTCTGACATAACACCTAGGGGGCGTTTGGTTCAGGTTATATAACATAACCAAGGGAATGTGACATTCCAAAGCTCACATTCCTATGTTTGGTTCACATTATCTCAGGGAATCTAACATTCCCCAGGAATGTCACATTCCCTCCACATACGATTTTGAAGGGAATGTGATTCCCTTCAATTTATAAGGTTATGTAAGATAACCTTGGTTATTTTAGTTTATCACACACACACACACACACACACACACACACACACACACACACACACACACATATATATATATATATATATATATATATATATATATATTATATATATATATATATATATATATATATATAATTATTTTTGTAATTATATATTTTTTATTTTAGGTTAGCATATAAAAAAAATTTTGTTTCTCAAGTTCAATATTTTAGTTAATATTTTAAAATCATGTAATTATATATGATACTGTTTATTTATTTATTTTAATTTTTAAATTTATTAAAATATATAAAAATATGTTAAGGATATTATAGTGTGTGAATAAAAGATAACCCTAAACCAAACATGATTATATTACATACCCCAATTTTAACCAAACACAGGAATCTAACATTCCCGGTAATCTAACATTCCCAGCAATCTAACATTCCCTAAGGTAATCTGACATTCCGTGAACCAAACGACCCCCTAAGGTGAAATGACTAGAGAAATTAGTTGTCAATATTCACTACTCGAATATATAAATTTGATAAATTTTGTATTGTAACTTTAGTTATCAAACCATCACAAGAAAGTAAAATTAATCTAAATTGTCATAGCTGATCACCTTATCAGTTCAAACCAATAATACAAATAGATGTCTGCATGGACAGCTCAACTAGGGGTGAAAGTTGGAAAGAATGTCCAGGGATCGAGTCTTACCAGCGGCAGTGCAGGAGCAACCTCTCAAAGTGAGGGGGCTCCCAGTAAGCAAAGGTCTAGGCTCTGTGGTTCATGTTCAATTGAATTTCAAAGTGAGGGGGCTCCCAGTAAGCAAAGGTCTAGCCTTTGTGGTTCAAAGTGAGGAGGTCTAGTCTCTGTGGTTCATGTTCAATTGAGTTTCAAAGGGAGGAGGGCTCCTAGTAAGACCTTTTGGAGAGAAGAAGAATACAAATAGATTATTTTTGGATATATCCAAGATTTTCGACATAGTAATTAATCCCGTCGCTAGATTGTAGGCACTTCTTTTAGGTGGGACAGTTAGCCTGAAGAATACACATAGATACGGGTGAATACTATACAGTTTTGGTCAAAACGAAAGACGTTACACATCCTTTTCTTAGAAAATGGCTAAAAGTCTATTTCCTTTGGTTTATGAAAAAGTGAGCAGCAATTATTTGAAAGTGTGATGTGTTTTGAGTAAAGTTTGTTTCATGTTTTAGTTGACAAAAGACTATAATGAGGTAAATCAATTTAGGTTGACCATAAATGATTGCGTCAAGCAAAAAGATTAATAAACAATTTTCTCATTGAGTCGAACTTAGAATTTTATGAGTAAAGATGTTTATTTCCATCAAGTGATCATGAGAAATTTGTAGAGGAGGTGGATAAAGCATTAAGCAGGAAAATGAATACTTGTGACTTTTTTATACTTAGGCTAGATTAGACGCGTAATCAAGTTTAATTGAATTTGAATAATCGAAATTTGAAGATTGACTTGATTTTTAAAAATTGAATTCACAAAGCTCTAACAGTATATTTGATTTACAGAATAATTTAGAATGAAACAACATTTTTGTAAAGAGCATAAATAAATGAATTTAAGCCCTAAGATCGATCTCACTTCGCAGTTCTCCTCCTCATCCTACCTTAATTTGAGGAAGAAAACTGCGAATTGGGATAGATTTTAGAGTTTAAATCCCTTTATTCATGCTCAAATAGGGATCCTAATTTGAAAAGCACGAAACTACCCTTAATAATTTCATATTTCGACGTGTCTTAAACGAATGAGTGACCGCCGTAATGAATTTTGACACTAAAACAATAGTTGTGGATGAAAATTGGTACTAAAACAATAGTCGTGAACGAAAATTGGTAGGAATTAAACATGTGGACCAAAACTGTCATTTTGCTAATACTCGTAGGACCAAAATTGGTATTTGCTCTTTTTGTAAATATTTCTTCTATGTTATAAAGTAAGTCATTTTATTCTGGGAAAAATATAATTTTAGTTCTTCAATTGTTCTTTGCTAAAGATTTTAGTCCCTAACATTTTGTTGTTACAATATACACCCCTAATTCTTCTAAAAAATTATAGTTTTAACTCTTAACTTGGAGCAACAAAACTATTGAACTCTATTAAAATTTTACTTAGAACATAGGTATTTTATTACTTTTTAATGTTTCATCTTTAATTATAATCTTGTTTAGTCTCAATATTTCAATTGCAACTTTTTTTTTAAACATGATTTTAATAGGATCATGTAGGAAAAATATGGACGATGTGCCTCAATTGAAAAGGTAAAATTTAGAGAAGAATGCTGTCAAATTCCTATTTTGCACATGAAATATCAAAACTGAAAATTTTATAAGGGTAATACTTGTGTAAGACCGTCTCGCGAGTCTGATATTTGACCAATGAGTCAAATCTTTAATTAATGGTCGAATCTTTGACCTCATTAATTTTTTTTAAAAAAAAAAAAAAATCGATCCGTCTCACGGATTGAAACTCATGAGACGGTCTCATACAAGTTTTTGTAATAACGGAGATAATAAATTTTTAAAATATCTATATACTAAGTAAAATTTAATAAAGTATCGCTTTTGGTTTTAAAAAAAAAAAAAGTAAAATTTTAAATAGAGTTTAATACTTTTGTTGTTCTATGAGTTAAAAATACAACTTTTTTAAAGAGTTAAAGGTATATATTATCAAGGAAAAAGTTAGAAACTAAAATAGCTAACAATAAATAATTGAGGAACTAAAATTGTATTTTTAAAAAAATTTTTTTTATGAGTATAGTATTCTTGGAAATAAATTATTGCCTTACAAAAAGAATAGCTAGCCCCAAAATAATTGAAGCATGTGCTACATCTCAACTAAAAGCTTTGATACCAAATTGAAGCATGTCCTCCATCTCAACTAAAAACCTAAACTAATAGTTAGATTGCACATTAATAGCTATATGCTCAACAATGACGATCTTGCAATTATGGAAAGTCAATCGTTCCGCCTCAATTATCTCCTCCTCTCACCAATCAATATTATTCTTCAATATAATTAGGCTATTATTGTTTCTACAAATCCATCTCAATTTAAAAAATGGGTCTCACTTTCACATCATCAAATTAAATTTGTAAATTCTTCAATATTTGTTCTACATCACTGTAAATCTCTCTCATTTTCAAAAATGAGTCACAATTTCATATTATATTACTGCCTTTGTCCCATTTTATCACTATTCATTGGTCAAATCAACTCTTTCTTCTTTGTTTATTTTTCTTATTATTCCATTTTACTTATTTTTAATTTAATTTTTGTGTTTAATAGTATTTTTAGTGTAATTTCTAAATATATAAATTTTGTATACTAATACTAAACTTAATATTATGAAAAATAAAATTAAAAATAATTTCAGTCAAACCTCGTTAACCGAACCAAACACATAAATTGAGTCGGAGGAAGTATAAATATAATAATAATCAAAGAATTTTTTTTAAAAGTACGGTGGCGGCAACTTTTATTGCCTTTTTAACATCAAAAAGTTGTCTATCAAATTTGCTAGTCACATAAACAACCCACCAAAATAAACAATGTTTTTTTTTTTTTTTGAATTTTCACATCATCTTGCCAATGCAATCTTTATTGCCATAATCTCAGCATTACTTTCTCGTTCCACTAATTATGACATCTCACCAATCAAGGTCCTCATCCCATTAATCACACGTCATTACCATATGCACCACCTACTCTACTATGAATGATCATGGTGAAAATATGAAATACAAGAGCATGAGAGGATCTATCTATATTTTCATCAAGATCAGACTCAAATTCTACCAAAATATATCCTATATATCTTCCCCCAAAATTTCTTACATATTCCAAGCCCGATAACTCTCTATACAAAATGTACATGTACAAAATTCTTTAAATATAGTGACGAATTTGGTTTGACACTGCTAAAAAAACTAGTGATTTTCACTTACAGTTTTCACGTTAAAAAATAAAAATAAAAATCCCGAGTTCAATTTATTTTTTCCCAATTTATTGTTAAATTTTCAGATAAGAAAATCATACTAAAATATATAAACATTATTCATTAATTAAAAATTATTATTTAAAAAAAAAACTACATCTATTGAAACTACATATTCACACATGTATGCATGAGTTTTATTTTACTTTCTATGTGTAGAACCGGTAAAAGAAAAAAAAAAATTATTGTGGATAAATTTTGTAAGGAATTGAATTATAAATGTACAATACAAAGAGTACAAAATTAAAAACATCAGAAACATTGTTTAATGGCACTTATATTACTATAATATAATAGCGTTTTAATTTCAGTTAAGGATTAATGCTAAAATAAAGCAAGATTATAAAAAATGTGAATGGTAAAATTGAAAATAAAGTATAAAGAAACAACAAAAATAACACAAAGAACAAACATTTAATATATGAGTTAATTTCATTTTTGATCCTAGATTTATAAATACAGTCCACTTTTAATCTTTTATTTTTTTTATCAAAACATCATCTTTTGATCCTAATATTATGGTAACATGACCAATTTTGATCATTTATCAACAAAATCATTGAAATTTGTTAAATTGAAGGACATTATTGTTTGGACGAGATTCGTCCAGGCTAGTTCAAATGGCAAATTAAATTATTGTTTGGACCACAAATGAAGTAGAACTTTATTTCAAGACAATTAAATTAATTTTTTTTACTCAAATATATATTATAATTAAATACGGAGTATGATTCTCGAAAGATACAAAAAAGTTAGTAAGTGAAGAAGAATGAGCTGAAGACGTTTGG